TTATTATTTACAGTCTATTCTGTTACATTTCTATTTGTTTTTCTCTATACAAAAAGTTTCAAACACCATATCTAAAATTGATGCTATTAGATAATAAAAATAAGTTATTTGAGTATCTCTTTAACTTCGGATTAATTTCATATGATTGCTGAAAAATGTAAACTCTTCTTGTGATAAAATATATTTCGTCGTATTTAATTTAAAAAAAAAAACTTCAAGTGATTCTGTATATGACTGAAATGAAAATAAATTTTATTTCTTTGACATCAATCAACTATTTTATCAAAAGATAAATTATTCTAATATAAAAAGATGTCATCAAGTAGATTTGAGGACTTGTCAGTCCACAAACTTTGTGGGACTAAATTGTAAAAGTCACATATCATCTCCTACTTAGCAATATTAATAAAAAAAACACATATACAGTAAATTATATCTGACAGACGACAGTTACTTTTCAATGCTAATCAATCGTTAAAAAAAAAGATTAGTCCTATTTATATCTATATTTCGAACAGATTTTTTAAATTTCTTTTTACTGATGCTCAATTTTTTATTTTCTTTTTTCTTAATCTACTATGCTATGTTTATTTTTCCAACAATTGATTTACCTTATGAAGAAGCGTATTGTACATTTCTATTATATTTACAACTAGTTTCAGCACTTTATTCTGTGTCTTGATAAAAATAGATATTCATTATTCTTCAAACATTAGAACTTGAACAGTGTATGTTTTTTATGTTGTTCGTATGACGATTAGGGTCAATCAATCAATCAGTAGCCATCATCCAACATATCTTGAATGTAATTATTTCGAATGGTATTTCAAAGATCTAAGTTTCAAAGTACGCATTAGAATATTCTACTACAGCTCAAGTTTTGTTGGTAATACCGTTGAGCATCTTTTACCGTTGATAAGTACCTATAAGAAAAGAGTTTGCTACCGGTTGCTCTCGGGTACTGATGTCTATAGATACTTGGAGAAGGGAGAAACTGCAAACCTCACTTTAAAACTAACACAGTGACTGTTTTCCTTGAAAAGAAAATGTGAATTTCACAAAAAAATAACCCGAGTGGAAGATAATTGATAAATCTCTCAAAACTCACGAAGACATTCCAATATCAACTATGTCTTAAAAAAACTGAATTTTTTCTTTCTCTAGAGTTCGATTTCCGACGCTTTTCCATAGAATTTTTTTTCTATTTATATATTACTCTCATACACAACTTAAACGGTAGATTTCAGAAAATGGTTTTTAATTTAAAAAAATGAACGATTAAAATAATTTTATTTTATTGTTTAACAAATATGCTCATGTGTATTGCGTACAATATAAAGATTTTTTTTCTAGTTTATACTTGTACACTAATTGATCGAAATGAAATATATGAAAAAGCACATGCTCATCTCATTTAAATGACTTTATAACTTAAAATCTACTAGTTAAACAATTCGAATGGCCCCTACTCGTGAAGGACGCAAGGAATTGAATCAGTAGGCAAATTTTAAATCTTTGACATTTTTACATCTGTATTTTAAAGAGCAGCATTTAAAACCATAGAATTTAATTTTTTATCTCATCATTTCGATGTTTTATAGTGAAGTTAGCTTTGATCGACTTCTCAGCACTATCTACCTACTTTCAAATTCAATAGCCTATGATGTTCATTTCTTGATAATATATATATACTACCATTTTTCGCAATCATACTTTCCAGTATTATCTTTATAATAGAACTTTTTTTTTTAAATTATAGTAATTAAACCATAAATCATTTTATTCAGTTTTTTTTTATTAATATGTGTAATGTTTCATTGTTGCTAAGGACATTATCAGAAACATATTATTGTTTAAAAAAAAACAAACTATTCTATAAAGAAACCAAAGAGGTAGCTCAATAAAACAAAGAATTTCTTTTGTTCTATCAACATTTCAATGCGAATTACTTATCCTTCTCCTCATTGTATTGAAATATTGATGGAATGACAAAAATTCTTTGTTTTATAATGCTATTCTTTTGATTCTCTTTATAAAACAATTTTTCTTAAACCATTGTGCTTCTAATGATGTTCTTAGCAACAACGAAACATCACACATATTAATAAAATGATTGATAGTCTAGTTACAATAATTTTTACATTATTAAATTTTATACTATCAAACAACATACATAGAACTTTTTCTAACACTTGAAACAATTTTTGATTTAATATGGAGTCTTCAAATTATTTAGAAGCCTTGATAATTTATCAATAAATGAATAAAACCTTGAAACTTTCAGCATCTTCGTTAAAACTCTACATGATGTATTATGATACTTTTATTTTTTTGAAGAGAGCTTCCCTAATTTTGTGATATTCGTAATGATCTTTCACTTAACTTTTCATTTTACATCATTCATATTATGATGATGAAGAGAATCTTGAACATGTTTTGTAAACTGAAATTGAATAAATTCTTAAAAAAGTATGAACATTAAATTCAACTAATCATTGATAGAAATAATGTTCATACTATACCAGAAGGAATTTTTCATTATAGTAAACAACGTTTTAATACGAATATACAAATTATTAATAACATTTATTTATTTTCAAAGTTGTTTTCTTTTGTTATGACAAATTATTATAGAGAATGTGATTTATGATCATTAAATAAAATAATTATAAAATCAATCAATTTAATGATTAACAGTCAATAATTAATATAATTAGGTTTGTCAAAATAAATTTGAAAATCAATAAATAAAATTTACTAATAGTTGATTATTATGTAAACGATCAGTATAAAAAAAAGAAACGATTATAGAGTACACCACTGTTATTTTTCTTTTCTTTTCTCTTCAGCTATTTTTAACATATTCTCGTTCTGTTGATCGGGTTCTTTTAACTTGTATGTCTTGTGACTGAGAATAGGCATTATTTTTACGTTTTATTTTTATTGTTGACTATCGTAAAACGAAAAACAAAAAGATGTTTCTCGACTTCTTTTCTGATCTTTCTTGTAATCTATCTCTATGTATATTCATATTTAGTATTGTTCAAATAGAAATAACATATGTTTCGTTTACAAAATTTAATATATTGTTAAGTACGAGAGTAGTGCAATTTTTTTTTTCAATATGAAAGCGATACATCAGATGAAGAAGTAGTGGAAGAAGAAAATGAAATCAATGCAAATCAAAGAATTCTAACAAAACGAGGCATCAAAACGTTGAATTAAAAAAAAAAGGCATTTGATAATAAATGATTCTAATCAAATGACGAGTGGTATGAAGGCATACACAACTATATGCAGCAAATTTAAATAAAATAATCAAAACTGATGAAACATGTCAAAAATTCTATGTTTTATCAAGAATTGTAATAATTTCTTCAAATATTATCAATAATTAGTCGATTGAACGAGATGATTGATGCAAAAAAAAATAGATAGACTTGGAAGCGTTCAATCTATTTTACTTATACAATAATTCAATTTTCTTTATCTTTCTCTTTTCAATTATTGTTTAAATTTCTCCTTATTTATTTTCTATTGGAAAAGTTTATTTTTCTTCTAGTAAATTTTCTATTTTTTTTACTAACCGACTTTATATATTTTACTGATATAATTTGAATTTTTTTACTGCTACTTATATTATTAAACTAATCATGTCATCTATTATGCATTGACTTATTCATTTTTTTTTGTTAATCAACATCAATAAATTTTCATTAAGAATTTGATAAACTTTTACTTTGAAGTAGTTCATAGACAAAAACTCTCTCTATTCATTAGGAAAGCAACTATGTAACAGCAATGTTGAACATACGAAAAATACCGGATAATCATTATTTATAAAAGATAGTTGTTGACAAACACTTTTCTTCCAATAAAAAAGAAAAACAAGATGTGGTTAGACGAATAATTTTTTAATTTAATGAATTTTTAAATAGTTAGCTGTTTTCAAAGTAAACCAATTGATTTATATCTTGCATAATAAAAGCCTTGTAAATTAATTTATTTAACTATACTCCGTATATTTATATAAGGTTAAGAGAATTATTCCAATTCATTTGTTAAAAATATAATACTAGAGCTTTCATATTTGAAAAGAAATTGACAATGTGAAAAACGAGTTTCAAGGTTGATTGTATAATTTTGTTGGTGCTTCACTTGGCAACAAATGCATTCGTTTGATAATCAAATATTTCAACTTACATAGAAAGAATAAAAGAACGTAATTTCTTTTACTATGGTGAATAACAAACACAGGAGTCACTAAGGACACATAGTTCAACAACAACCTATTGTACAGAAAGTATATAAAGCGTGTCCGTTTCTCTATAAGAAGAAGAAGAATAAGAGAAGTTATAAAGCAACGCTTCGATTTACAATATACAAACACTTCACAACACGTACGAACGGTAAAGTTGCGTATGAAATCGATTGCTTTTATTCATTTCATATATCGAGAAAGGCTTTTCTTAGTTTCACTTTCAAAACTTGTTTTAAAATAGTTGCTTTTTTGAGCGTTAAGATATTGAGACTCTTTTGCCGTTTTTATTAATAAATATCATTTTCACTAGTTTTCCAATGTATAGAGGCATCATTGAGGATAGAGTTTCACAAAATAGTCAACGAAAGAGAATAAAAATTGATATCCTTCAGCTAGTGAAATTATTTAACATGACGAAATAATCTTGACATAATAAATAGAATGTTTTTTTTTCAAGGTTTTCTCCGGTCTGATTTATTCATTTGAGGATTTTATTTAAAACCTTACATTTCAGTAATACATATACCTACACCCATCCGTGTCGAAAAGCAATATTAGAATACAGACGTTAATATGATATAGAGAGATGTCTAAAAGAAAAAATTGATTTACCACACTCTTGATTCAATTCAAAATAAAGTTCGTACATTTCGTTAAAACATCGAAAATATTCGAATTGAACTGATTCTTATTTTTCCTTTTATTTAATAGAATATATTCAAATAATTAAATTGAAAAAATGCCTCAAGATCAAGGCGATGCAGCTAGTCGAATAACATATGAACGTTTTCTTGAATTTGAACGTTTAATGAAAGGATATACTTCAACAAAATATCAACCTTATAATGCAGCACCAATCGGTTATTGTGCTTTTGGCTTAACATTATTTGTTTATTCATTTTACATGGCTGGTGCAACTGTTCCCATTGGAACTTCACCTCATGTTGCCATGGGTCTTGCACTTTTCTATGGTGGTTTAATCCAATTTCTTGCTGGTTTATTTGAATTACGCATAGGAAATAACTTTAATGCACTTCTATTTTGTTCTTATGCTGGTTACTGGTTTGGACTTGGTGCACTTTATGCATATACATTTTCCTTTTTAACTAACTTAACCACCGATTCAAGTGTACAATATAAAGCATTAGGTGTTTTCTATCTTGCATGGACAATATTTACAATACTTATGTTAATTGCATCAATTCGAAAAAATATAGTTTTAGTAGTATTTTTCTTTTTTTTAATGTTAGTTTATGTTTTATTTACAGCAAGTTATTTTCAATTATGGGATCAAAATTTATCACGTGCTGGTGGAGCTTTTGGAATAGTGACAGCAATAATTCTTTGGTATATAGGATTTGCAAGTTTAATGATAAAAGGTGAAAATTCATATTTCGAACTACCAACGTTTGATTTATCACCAAAAACTGGAGAATCTGCAGTTGAAGTTCGTAAAGCATAATCCAAAAACAAATGAAACTTATATATAAGACTAATTTCTTCTTAGATTACAATTTTTTTAGCTTACATTTTCATTTCACTAACATAATTATAACATTTAAAAAAAAAACATAATTTTGTTCATTTTATTTAAATTACCAATTATAGTTTTTTTTTCTATCTTATGAAGTGGTTTTTTTTTTACCTTTTTTTGTCACCATGAATTTTTTTTCTTGATTTACATAATATACAAGCACTACATTACATTGAATTCTTATTGAAAACAAGATGTCAATTACTATATGTTCAGAAATGAGACTCTATTTTTCAAGAAATATTATAGACCAGTAAATATGAAGGAAAATATTAACCAAAAACACAATTCTTCAGATATCATCAAGCACGACCGCACCCACTTCGTTTTATAGGGCTCAGTGTACATCTCTGTAAAGAAAAAATGATCTAATTACGATGTCTATGATGATCTGTGAGAGACGAAAGGAAATGTTGGATGGACATCACTAGAATACTGTTTGACTTCTATACTATTACAATACACTATTGTCAAATTTTACTATGAAAAAAAAATCCAATATTTTATTCAATCGTAACAAAAAATTCAACTAAAAATCTCTTGCAATTGAAAATAATGCGTTATCATTACATTACTAAGTTCATGATGTGAAATAGTTAATGAATAAACTTTTATAGTAAGTGAAAAAAATTCTTATTTATTGAATAAGTAATAATAACTTCTATCCATTATGACAGTGACCACGTAATCTTATCTAGAATTGTATTTCAAGATGTCTATAGGATCTTTTATTGGATCAATAGTTTGATAATTTGTTACATTTTCGTTACTATTATTTGATAAGATCATTGTCGAAAGTATCATCAGAATACAAATGAAGACACGTTTTTTTATTCCTTTGTAAAACTATAAATTTTTATTAATATATGTCTTTAAAAAGAATTTATATTTTTGTATCATGAATAAAATATAAATAAGATTTATTTTTCTACGTCTTTGTCACCGATTACAAGTTGAAGATAAACTACTTGCAAAAGTATTTTTTTTTTCATATTATTTCAATGCTTGTTCAATTCAAATATATATGTTGATTCAAGGCCGTGAATCGTTGATAAACATTATTCAGTATGTAAGTGTTGATTTTTTTTTCTAAAATTCTCAAAAAAAATTTTTACATTTTTTTTTTTGATTGGTCTATTAAAACCAATCAATCTAAGAAGAAAATCTATTTTTTTATCTTATTTCTTAGAATTTTTTAATAATTAAACACATATCTAGAAAAACTTGTGTTCCAAGATACTCTTATCTTAAATTTTATTAGAAGATTTTCTTAAATAAGAATATTGATCAAACAGTTAGAAAATTGATTTCATTTAGAAATATATTCTTACTTGATTTTTTTTCATGTTTTTACTTAAAACGAATCAGAGTAACAATCTACCAGTTAGAAAATAAAATTTTTCTAAAACTGCATACCTCAACCATCAAGAGTTTTATACCAAATACAAACTTGTCAAAAACAAATTTAGAAATATTATTAATCATTGATAATATTGATGATATCCTATTCAATTACGGAAATCTAGAATTATTGATTACTATCTGAAAAGTCAATCACAAAAACATTATCATTTCAGAAAATCTTATTTGTCCACTCGACGTGGCAAAGCTCTGTTTGTGGAATCATTTTGATAAAAGAAAGCTTTGAATTTGATTAATTGATAATGATAGTAAAATAAAAACATGAACTATCAAGCAGAACCGTTTGATATTTTCAATATTTGTTCATCTCACTTGTGTTTTTCATTGGTCGAATTTAAAACTGTTTTTCATTAAAATGATCTAACAGAAACAGCTCTGAAAACATCATGCTTTTGTGGTAGACTATGAAGAAAGTGACCAATAATTTTAGCTTTTCGTAATTATATAGGACATTACCATTTTATCAATGATCAATAATTTTGGATCACAATTGACTTTAAAATTTTATTTTTCAACATTTGCATGACTCGACTAATTTATACACACGGATCCATTTTTTCGAATAAAATGATTGAGCTTTGACTTCAAAGTTAAAAGAGATTTTGAAAAAAGTAGCTAGTAGACTTTTAGGCTATTGCTTGACCTTATTACAAAGTGAACGTGTGAAGATTGTCACAGAAGTCAGAACTCTATTTGTTCAAGGTCAATTTTATTTTCGTTTTCGATCGATGATTGCTGAATAGATTCAACGTTCGATATCATCGATGGAAATATCGATGAAGTTCGATGGTAGCATATTTATGATATGTCATCAAATTCATCCTCGACTATATCTGCACAAATTGATTTCAAATGTATACAAGTAATCATTCTAAATCAATATAGATGTGTACTGTCTTTACACACTGCTATGAAATCTTTCAATGATTTCGATTGTCACATGCGCTAGAGTGAGATGAAAATGATTGTTTTTTCTTAGTTTTTCTTAGAGAAGAATAATGAAGACTATATAGAGAGAATAAAACATTTTGTAAATAAACAAAAATAAGCATAGACATTCATTCACAAGAAAAAATAAGTGAAGTATCTTTTCTCCATGTTATGACATTACTATTCAAAAGCAAACAGATTGTTCGTTTAATTTCATGACAACAAATTTTCTTTACTTGAGATGTTTCATGAAAGATGTCAAACATACGAAAACAAAAAAATCAAGACTAATTTGTTTTGTCAGAAAGTTGCAATAAAAAAGCCAACTTATCAAGGAACTGTATTCGTTATGAAACTTAAAGGATTGATCTTTATTCAATACATTTCGAAATTATGAAAGATCCTTGAGCGATGAAGATCAGTGAAAACTTTCAAAAACTGATACCAATCTTTTTTCAAGATATTTTTAGATAAGTATTAGTAGAATCATTTGTTTAGCGTCACAATTTTATTGCTTTCAAATTCCTGAAAGGAGTCACTTGTATCAAATTAGGTGCATGAAGGATCTGGATGTCGGCATCAGTGGAATGAACATCTAACTCGATACTCACACTATTACCATAAACATACTTTAAGCAATTCTAAAATTTGTAATTAACATCTCATAATGTAATCTTTCCAAATGTCGGCTGCTACTCAATGACAAAGAATTTGTAAAGTTATATTTGTCTACAGTTAGTCCTACTTAGTCTTTATGAATCAGAACTTTTTATTTGTCAATAATACATGAATGCTACGTCAATAAGATATCTTTACTACTTCTTTTGTGTTATACAGGAAACTATAAATATTGAAATATATTAAATTTCAAAAGTATGAATTATTGTAAGTGAATTTGATTCGTTTATAATCAACCATAGTTTTAATCTTTCTCTTTCCAAGCCAAACACTAACCATTCCATTATTTTCTCTACAAGTGGTACTAATCATGTTATCAGCAAACCAGTTGATGACTTTTTTTGAGAATTTTGTATCTTTAATGTCAAAGTTGATTGTTGACAGATTTTTACATTGTTCAAAAATCATTTCTATTTGATCCACGTTATTAATGGATGTTTGTAAATGTTTGATATGATGTGGAAGATTTGAATAAATATTTCCTTTAGTTCGATTTGAATGATATATGTGAAAATCGTTCTGAATAATTAATGAAGAGAGACTGTGAGCTTGTTTCATGAAAATATCAATAACTATCCACGTATTTTCATTATATTAATTAAAATAATAATCATGTATTTTAATACAAATAATTCAAGAAATATCAATCAACGTTGAAATTGATTTTTACAGAAGATAGAAGCCAACCTTTGCAAAATTCAATATCGATTTGAATCACTTTAGGAAACAATGGATGATTTGCAATTGCTTCCTAAAAATATTCAAACATAGAAAAAAAAAACTTTTTGTCTTTTCTTATGTTTAATATATCTCAATTTTTGTGTCTGAGATTTACAAAAAACCGTTATGAAGGGTATAGGTTGAATTTTTCAAGTAAAAGTCAATGACTTGATATTATCCATTAATAGTGAATCATCATTCCTAATTCAATAGTTAAAGATGTTAAGTGTGAAAAACATATTGAAGCTTGTTAAATATTGAATGGTGGACTTGATTGACCATGAAATCTTTTTGGCATTCTATTACATGCAAAATATTCTAATTTACGAAGAGTTTTTTGTGCAATAATTGATGAGAAAAGAGTTGTAGCTGTTTTTCTTCGTCTTTTATTATATTGAATGAAAATGAAGTGAATATATTAAAATTGATTCTTTTCAAAATGAAGTTAAAATTAACTTTCGTCAATGTTAAACAGGAGTTAAAGAATGAAGTCGAGTAAATTATCGAAGACGAACAATAGAAATAAATAAATGAATTAGATTTAATGTGCGTTCATCATTTGAAAGTGTTAATAAAAGAAAATTTTTTGAATTAATTAATGAGCAGAGAATATAAAAATTTAATTTTGAAATTAAATTAAAATTTAAAACATATCGATAATAAGTGACGGTAACTGATCGAAATAATCGACATACAAAACGAATTGATAGTAAGATTGTTTGTGCATCAAGATTATCAAAAATTCAATAAAGTAATTCGACTGATCATATTTCAATCGATAAAATCCTATTATTTCATCTTGAAGTGATAGAAATATTCTAAGTTGAAAATTTTTTTGAGATGAATTATACACATTTGTCACACACAAAAAAAACAGAGTAGAAAAGAACTGTATTATTTTTTTCTTATGAAGGAAAAACATACGAATAAACAAATGAAGTCAATCTTTGTCAAAAACGTTTTTTCAAGATATTTCTTTGAACACTACTGCTAAAGAAAATTTACGTAATAAAAGTAACTAATACTTCAGTCAATGAGTCGCGTCGGGGTGTGTCTTTTTAGTTTTTTGAAACCATATTTTTTCTACAGCTCAGAAAAGACAAAATACCGAAGGTACTATTAAGAAAGGTATCTTTTTTCCAATGATGCTAGTTTGTTAAAGACTGACAAATTTCACA